ATGCCTTGGCTACTCAATACTTTAACTAGCTGCCCCATATTTTCTTAGTTAACTGTGCCATTACTGTACATCTGTCTCACTTACATTGTCCTGTTTCAGATTGCTCTAACCGGACTCTCTAGGCTGTACAATCTCCCCTTACTTGTATCCCAGTCAATTACAAAGTCGCACACATTTATGATAAAACATGTCCTTAAACGTATTGTATCATATCCCCACCTCTGATTGGGGCAGGTCTCTTTGAGTCAGGATGCTGTCCACTAAACGAGGCTTCACTATTTCATACTTCTCCACTCCAGGAAGTGGGTCAGACCCGGGAGAACGAGCAGCTGCAGAAAAAAATAGCAATTGAGCGGGTTAGGAACAACCACACAGTATTATTATTTGCAGTTACACAATGAAACTTCTACTGCAGTATTATTAAAGTGCAGAATAAACAAATTATAACTGAATGGCAAATCTGTCAACCATCAGTGTTTCTTTAACATTTACGATTTGTGCAGATGATTGTGGATATATACTTCCCATTACACTCCATAAACCAAAACATTAGTGTAAAGTTCTAAAATCGAGTAGGTTTACGTCCCATAATAAATCTGGTAATATTTAACGCATTTCATTGATGAGAAAGCAGATATACGAATTGCAGATTTGGTTAGGAGATTGTTTCCAAAATAGTTTGGCCAAGAGCGTGTTCATTGTTTAAAGTTCTACTAGTTTGTTTCATTAGGACAAAAAAAGGATTAACAATTGGGTTAAAAGGATGGAGTCAAAAGTTGGTTTCAATACAAAAACTAAACGGAGTTTTTTTTAAAAAGAAAACTAAATTCCATTTATGTTGAATATATCATGCTCACAAATAACGTGAGAATTTGAACTTACCATATGTTGAGCATATGATCAATGAGACGAAAGTAACAGGAGCCCAGGGCATTCTGCTCTGAGACAGCGCTGTCTATCTTCTACTGGACACAGCGTTAACTATCCCTGAGTGTGGATCGCTCACTGTTACACCAAGACTGACTCATTGGCACAAGCCCCGCCTGGCTATCGGATTGCTCAACATTAATCCAATCAATCGGCAGGACACCAATTAGCCAGAAGTGGGTGGAGGCTAGAGTTGAAACTGACGTGGTTTCATTGCTTTTTTTTTGGTTCGATCCATTCCTTGACCCTGTTTAGTGAGGTGGCAGTTCTAAAAGGTATGTGAAAGGGTGGCTCTGACGGTGATGAAAGCCACTGCGGAAAGAGGTGCCTGGAGGTGGAGAGCGGACCCTGGATGGGGGATGATTCTTTAAAGTTAGAAGTTTTGGGGTCAGGCTGAGTCAGGAATGAAACACGCGAAATGGGACCCAGATCCACACCCATTCCTCCCTGAGCAGTAGTCCCAGTTTGGAGAAAGTTAAGAAATACGGACTTGCGTCTAATCCTGAGCAAACATTCAGGAAAGACTCGGAGTACAGAACGATTAAAGTCACGCCTTGGCTCCCAGACCTGATTATCAGGACAGGGGCTACAGATCAGTTGAGTTTTATTTTGAAAGGACCCTGCTCCTCAGTGCTTTTCAATTTGAAAACAACACCTAGTCCTTGATAAGAACATTTAACAAAAGTTGTTAGAAAATGTGCCTTCTGATGCTGAGAACAGGAAAGCATAGGGACCCCGTAACACATCACGCCCCGTATTACTGAGAGCAGAGCAGCTTCCCCCAAATAGAGAATTGTCTGGTGTGACTCTCTCATACCTCCTAGTGGATGGTCGGGGAACAATAAAGGGCAGAGGCCTGGAGATTGTGTGTTTGCTGAGACAGCATGAGGGGAAAAAAATGAAATCAAATAACTTAAAGGAGTAGAAAGTGGTAAACTCAGGAGAATTGAGTCTTGGCATGATTGCATCATAACTAAAATCACACTGCAGGTCACACAGCAGCTACAGAGATAGAAACAAGTGTCTAACGAATGCTAGCTCTAGTTTCTCCCACCACACGCGCTGACTGATCCAGCATTTTCTTTTTCAGATTTCCAGCATCCTCAGCTTTTTGCAGAAAGGTGGCAGTTGTACATGCTGACTAACAACTCCACTCCAAGATGCTGCCCACATAGTGTTGAAAGTGTGGACAATCTGATGATTTCAGAAGAAATTGGATAATACTTGAAAGAAATATACTTGTAGGACTATGGGGAAATGGGATAAATGGGATTGCTCCACAGACAGGTGGCATGGACTCATTCTGTACAGTTATAATTCTCCTATTAATTCCTACTTAAACAATAATATGAAAATTAAGAATGTAGCTTCAGTACAGAAACACAACAAGCACAAACTTAAATGATAATGAGGCCAAATGATGCTGCTTGGCTTGTGTTCATCCAGCTCTACACCTTGTTATCTTAAATGATAATGACTTTGACTGGGCAGCTTGTCCTTTGTTCTTTGGTGCTGTAAAGTCTTTCAGATGTTTTAATTATATATGATTGAAGGGCATCTTCCCATTACAGAAATTATAAGTCCATTAGAAGTATCCTGACCAGGACATCTTTGTCTGAATCCTCAATAAACATATTTTTGAAAAAAAAATCATAAATCATCTGTGCAGGATAATCAACAGCATAAGTTTATGACTCAATGCCTCCTTTTGTCTCTTTGTAGGAAAAACTATTGCCCCCCTCCTGACCCTGACTAATGTCTCAACAGCATCCCACTTGTAATTGCTGGATGGCTTGTACTAGACCTATTCATGGCCAGTCCCCTGTAGTGTAATCAGATGAGCATGTTGACTGATTGTGGTCCCTGCTATCCCCCTAAGGACTCTACACCTTTGATTTTGCCATCTGTTTAGGATGTTGCCATGTATGCTGCTGGCACATACTACAGCATTGAAGTTGATGTAGCACAGTCCCATACAATGATATATCCATCCGCTATCTGACAAGTTACATACCTGTCCCTCTGAGCTCAAAAGCAAGCTAAACTACAGAGACTGGCAGTCTCCAAGTAAGTGCAGATGTCAGTGAGCAGTAAGGAAGCCAGCTTAATATCATAAAAAGAACTAAGAGCAAATGTAGAAAATTCAGCACCTTGAGGCTGCTTTGCTATTCATTACAATCATGTGAATGCAAAAGCGTCCTGTGCATGCAATCTGTGGCTATGTTTGTTCATGAAGCATTCTGGCAGAAGCATGCAAATCGTAGGTGTCCCTCGACTCCAAAGTTTAAGTGTTGAAGACCTAAACTAGTCTGAGGCTGGTGGTTTGCTGACGTGAAATTGCAATGATGAAGGGCCAAGCAGGATGATAGCCATGGAGCATGCAGGGATGCTATGCAGAAGAAGCAGTGGCAGCATGGCAGGGACAGGCATTTAGTGAGCTGTAGCCATCAGGCACCTGTTCAGTTTTGCCTGTTTTTGTGCCATTTAGTTTCTCAGGAGGAGAGGGGAATTGGAAGTAGGATGTAAATAAGGCAATTTTGCGTTTTAGTGGGGTATTAATGTATGGAACTAAAGTGATCTTCACTCAGTGGTAAAATTATGAAGTTACCATTTAAAGTTTCAAGGGGAAAATGGGAACATTTTTCTCAATGTTGAGAGTCTGATTTTTACATTTTCCCTGCATTTTGTCACCGTACTTTTTTATTTATTTCAAAAATATACTTTAGTCATTGAAATATCTTTATATACATACATAGTTACTAAAGCAGTTCAGTTCTGTACAGTAGCATAAGAAACAAATAAACATTGTACA